CATCCCAGCTTCTATCTCCTCCCCTCTTTTTCCCGCCTGAACTCGTCCCGGTTCGCGGGTGATCTTTAACCCCTTCATAACCTCCTCTAGGTCCCGGGTATCCACCCCCTTGCTCAGGGTAAGGGTTCCGCCGCATTCTGTCCCCCAATCAGGGGTCTCCACTCCTCTATCTTCCCGTCGCGGTGGGGATGGTGGGGGGGATGTCTGAGTCTGGTTGTTACTCTTCGGGCGTAGCGGCACTCCTACCATGGCTTCCACTTTGGGAGCCTCACAGTTAGCGTTTTGTTAGTCCATGGAATTTTTTTGGCAAAGATACTGGAGTGGCATTGCCAGTTCCTGCTCCAAGTGGACGGTGCTTAGTCCGAACTCTCCACTATGTCCTGTCTGTCTTTGGTGTCCCTGCACGGCATGGCCCACAGCTTCTCTAAATTACTCAAGCCCCTTCGCCATGACAAGGCAGCAATCCGTGAAGGGGTAGCCTGATTATAGCTGGGGGTCTAAACAAGCATTACTCTAGGACCACCCAAAGGAATTTTTGACTAGCTTCCCTGGCCCATTCCCCAACTTCGACAGTATGCACTCAGCGCCATATTAAATACAGCTGAACAAAACACTGCCTTTGTTTTTTTGGGGGGGCGGGAGGCCTTTATGTAGCATCAAGGAATGCTGCTCCTGCAACACAACTCCAACCAGCTAGAAGCGCACAATGCAATTCTCTGGATCCTGGCCAAGGAAGCCACAATCCCAGAAGCATGAAAATAAAAGTTTAACAAGCTGCTTTATCCCTAGCCTGATTAGAAACTACAAGGATATGCTCAAGAAGTGGCTTTCAGTTTCATTTCTGCAAATGAGTGGGTAAACACTTTTGATTTCTACTGTATTTACATAACGTTACAGCAACCCAGTCTGGGTGAGGCTAGAGAATTCATTTCTGTACTCCCCACTCATTGCTTAAATAAAAGTGTACCAGTTCAGATGCGGATTTGCTGGATCAGATTTCTTTTTGTTAGAACAAAAGTATTGCAGGAAAGTCTGACAAACTTTGCTTTCAGTATCCACTGGCAGCTCAAAGGGCAGAGTTTTGTTCAATTCGTCTGCTTTAACAAACAGTGCCCGGGTTTTAAACTATTTTTGATTGAACTATACTTTGCCTCCATTGTGTTCACTGTTGTTTTGATTTACTCTCACCAACCAAAAGAAAGTAAAATCTTTATAAATAAGTGAACAAACCTAAGCAATACAGCATTTAATGGTTTATATGGCTTTAATGTTTGCAACATTCATTTATCTCCCAGGTTCTGGGTTGTTCTAAAAAAAAAAATCTCCAATCCCATGCCCTTAATTTAGATATTCTTATAGCCTGGGTTTTCTTGTAAAGGGGACATCTACCCATTTAAAAATAAATGAGAAGTTACGTGTCTGGAATCTGGATTCCTCGACATCATGGTGTTGTGGGGTTTGGTGAATTAAAGGGTTCTCTGTCCCATAATATGGGGTGTGTAGGAGTCTCCCGCAGAATTATGGTCCCTGAGAGTCCTTTAATTCTGAAAGTTCCACCCCTAGTCAGTATCAACAACCGAGGAGCAGGTGTTTTGCAAGGTTAAAGGGTTTTAATTGCCCATTCAAAACCAAATCACTCTCAAACACAGCAAGGATGGGTTACAAAAACTCACTGCCCCTAAAGAAATCCATTTCTTTCCCATCTACAGAAGATAAGAGAAAACCTGGCTAGGGGCGGGGCGGATGATGTGCTGGTCCCTGCTAAATTATAAAGTCCCAGGCTTTGACCCGGTGAGCCCTGATTCCACTACTGTACTTCCCCCGGGGTCTTTGGGGACGGTGACTTGTGGAAGGAGACGGCGGTGGCTACTCTTGAGTGGGTTTTTTGGGGAGGGGGGAAGCGATGCAACTTTAGGAAAGGTCCCAGGAAGAAAATCCTTGTCTGGAAGAGAAAAGCCTCTCTCCCCATTAAATCAACGAGGGTCTTTGTCCGCCTACCTGGTGCAATGACCACCCACTGGCTTCTGCCGGTCTCCTCCGCGGGAGCCGCCGCCGCCCCCGGGCGCTGCCGACCGCTCGGCATGGTTCCTCCCGTGGCCCCGAGGCGCCCCCGCCTCCCTGGTCCCCGACGAGCCGTAGACCTATGAAGAGGTAGACGTATACGCACCCCGCTGATGTGACGGGTGCGCTTAGAGAACGTTCCGTTTGCGCTTAGGGGGGGAAAAGCGCAGGGAGCCACAGAAAAGGAGCTATTTAAGGACCTGGGCCTGTGCTGTCCCCTTCAAATGTTTAGGAGGAATCGGGGAAACGCCACAGGGTCGTGAAAACAATGCCCTACAGAAGCAGAAGATACCTTTAATCGGCCCTTAAGAACACAAAACCAACGAACAAAAACAAATAGCCAGCTTTCCGATGATCAATCATCTTCTACAAGGCCTTGTTTTCTTGTTTGCCTGTCTTATATTAAGGGTCGATTGAAGGTATCCCCTGCTCCTGCATTTGTATTCGTTGAAATGTGTGAATGAAGGGTGAATATGAGAGAGAGAGAGAGAGAGAGAGAGAGAGAGAGAGATGAACTCAGCCCAGCTTGCGGGGGGAAGGGGCTCCTGCTCCGCGATCTGTTTCTGCGACCGAGCTCTCTCCCGCCCCCCGAGTTGGCTTCACAGGCACCCATCTATTGGGAAGACGCGACACAGGAGGTGGGCTTTGTTGCTTCGTTTTGTTTTTCTGTTCTGATTCAGCGCAGGGAAAAGTGGGCTCCAGCCCACGAGAGCTGCCTCATGCCAAGTTAAACTTTGCCGGCGTTTTTAGAAGGCGAAAGCAGAAATTCCGGACTTTCACCCCCTCTTCCTTCGAGCATCTCTCCCTCCCTGCCGGCAGTGGCGGGGTGGGGGAGAACGGCCTCGAAAAGACCCAGAAGTCTTCCCTGCTCAACGACGGGCGTTTCCCTTCTATCCTGAATACGATCAGGGCAAATGTGCCTGCGCGGGTGGAACGCGGCCACCTCTTCCACCGCTACCTTGAGTGAGTCTGCGCTCCTTGAGCTGCCCGGAAAAATCCAAATTTCCCACGCAGCCTCGGGGAAGGTAGCGCCGTCGACCCGGGCCGGGGCTCCCTGGCCTGGCCCGCCTCCCCCTACTTGTTTGCGGCCCTCCCGGGGTCAAGTGACGGGCAAGGCTGGGAAGGACCCGGTGCCTTTCGGCTCCTTCCTTTGGAGACGCAGCTACGGGCGGGGAGGGCGGCCTCGCTTGCTCCACCTCTGCCCGGCGCTCTTCCACGGGGCAGCGAGCAGCCAGATCGTACCCGGAGCAAGTTCGCGTCAAAGCGGGAAAAGGAAAGCAAGCTCCCTTATTGAGCGCCAGAATCTCTCTCAATCCTGCTCCCACTGCACTGCCTCATTTACAGCGATTCTTAATTAGAGATGCAAAATTTCCCTTTCCCCCCGGAAAAAACATAGTACAGTATGTATGTAAAGTTGTCTAGATCGGATCGACTGGGAAATGAAAGTTTCCTGGTTTTTTCCGTGAAAAAATTGGAAATGTTTGCATCCCTATTCATAATAATATATAGCCCATAGATAATTAGGAAAAGGCCGTTGATGCGGAGTTACACAAATGCAAGAGTAGGGTGACATCGGTGTGTGTGTGTGTGTGTGTTTAGTCGTTTAGTCGTGTCCGACTCTTCGTGACCCCATGGACCAGAGCACGCCAGGCCCTCCTGTCTTCTACTGCCTCCCGGAGTTGTGTCAGGTTCATGCTGGTTGCTTCGCAGACACTGTCCAGCCATCTCATCCTCGGTCGTCCCCTTCTCCTCTTGCCATCACACCTTCCTAACATCAAGGTTTTTTCCAAGGACTCTTTTCTTCTCATGAGATGGCCAAAGTACTGGAGCCTCAGCTTCAGGATCTGTCCTTCAAGTGAGCATTCAGGGTTGATTTCCTTTAGAACTGATAGGTTTGTTCTCCTTGCAGGCCAGGTGATTCTCAAGAGCCTCCTCCAGCACCACAATTCAAAGGCATCAATTCTCCGGCGGTCTGCTTTCTTTATGGTCCAGCTCTCACTTCCATACATCACAACAGGAAAAACCATAGCTTTGACTATTCGGACTTTTGTCGGCAAGGTGATGTCTCTGCTTTTCAAGATGCTGTCAAGATTTGTCATCGCTTTCCTCCCAAGAAGAAGGCGCCTTTTAATTTCAGGGCTGCTGTCTCCATCTGCAGTGATCATGGAGCCCAGGAAGATAAAATTTGACACTGCCTCCATATCTTCCCCTTCTATTTCCCAGGAGGTGATGGGACCAGTGGCCATGATCTTAGTTTTTTTGATGTTGAGTTTCAGACCATTTTTTGCACTCTCCTCTTTCACTCTCATTACAAGGTTCTTCAATTCCTCCTCACTTTCTGCCATCAGAGTGGTATCATCTGCATATCGGAGGTTGTTGATATTTCTTCCGGCAATCTTAATTCCGGCTTGGGCTTCTTCCAGTCCAGCCTTCCGCATGATGTATTCTGCATATAAGTTAAATAAAAAACCATCGCTTTGACTATTCGGACTTTTGTTGGCAAGGTGATGTCTCTGCTTTTCAAGATGCTGTCAAGATTTGTCATCGCTTTCCTCCCAAGACGAAGGCGTCTTTTAATTTCAGGGCTGCTGTCTCCATCTGCAGTGATCATGGAGCCCAGGAAGATAAAATTTGACACTGCCTCCATATCTTCCCCTTCTATTTCCCAGGAGGTGATGGGACCAGTGGCCATGATCTTAGTTTTTTTGATGTTGAGTTTCAGACCGTTTTTTGCACTCTCCTCTTTCACTCTCATTACAAGGTTCTTTAATTCCTCCTGACTTTCTGCCATCAGAGTGGTATCATCTGCGTATCGGAGGTTGTTGATATTTCTTCCGGCAATCTTAATTCCGGCTTGGGTTTCTTCCAGTCCAGCCTTCCGCATGATGTATTCTGCATATAAGTTAAATAAGCTGGGGGACAATATACAGCCTTGCCGTACTCCTTTCCCAATTTTGAACCACTCAGTTGTTCCATGACCAGTTCTAACTGTTGCTTCCTGTCCCACATATAGGTTTCTCAGGAGACAGATAAAGTGGTCAGGCACTCCCATTTCTTTAAGAACTTGCCATAGTTTGCTGTGGTCCACACAGTCAAAGGCTTTCGCATAGTCAATGAAGCAGAAGTAGATATTTTTCTGGAACTCTCTGGCTTTCTCCATAATCCAGCGCAAGTTAGCAATTTGGTCTCGAGTTCCTCTGCCTCTTCGGAATCCAGCTTGTACTTCTGGGAGTTCTCGGTCCACATACTGCTGAAGCCTACCTTGGAGGATTTTGAGCATAACCTTGCTAGCGTGCGAAATGAGTGCAATTGTACGGTAGTTGGAGCATTCTTTGGCACTGCCTTTCTTTGGGATTGGGATGTAGACTGATCTTTTCCAATCCTCTGGCCACTGTTGAGTTTTCCAAACTTGCTGGCATATTGAATGTAGCACCTTAACAGCATCATCTTTCAAGATTTTGAGTGACATCGGTAGTGAACCACTAAAAAAAAATTAAACAAATTGCAATCTTTCTTGGTTAAACATCTCGTTACCTCAATGTAAGGAAAAAAATAGAGGTATAGATCAGAGTTCCCATGCTCGCGTGGAGACGTCCATGCCGAGTCTGACCTACAGTACTTTTTTTTCTGCACTGAGGAGCACAGCCTGAGGATGCGGGATATTTACCCACGAAGGCGTGCAACCTGTGGTTTAAAATACAGGTATTGATCGCCCTGCTCTTGCATTTCCAAGGGCTCTTAAGGATCCCCTACAGTCACCGCTCAGGTTCCGCATAAGGCGGAGTCTAATCGGGGCCGGAAGTGAATGCTGCGTGTTGTCGAAACTCACCGGAAGCGGAAGTGACGTTTGTCTCTTCCGCGCTGCGTGCGGGAGGCGTCCGGTTGAAGCTGCCTTTGGGGGGTCTTGGGACTTTCTTCGAGGACTTCTCTTTTTTTTCCCGGGCAGAAGTAGGATCCGTTAAGTAAGCCGTTACCATGGCGATGCAAGCGGCGAAACGCGCTAATGTGAGTCTAACTTTTCTCCTCCCCCCCCCCGTTTCCACCGGGAGCGGCCATTTTGCTGGGAAGGGGCTTTGGCCGGACACCCCCTCCCCGCTCCACCTGCTTGACTGTTACGGGATCTACTGGGGGGGATGACGGCGCCTGTGTGTGTGTGTGAAACCCGGGGTGGCGACATCGGGTATCCAGTCCTGACGTGGGAATCCGTGGTAGAAAGCGGGTGGTGACGGTAGAAGCCGGAAGGTTGGCTTCTGCCTGAGAGAAAAGTGGACCTTGGAAACCTCTCCCGAAACTACAAATCCCAGAAGACCCCCAGCCAGCATGGCCGGTGGGGGAGGGACTGTTCCCAGTTTTGCACAGGGGCTCCAAGACATGCCCTGGAGCGTGTCTGCCAGAGCCGTATTTGTATCAGACCTTTTTTGGGATAGAGGAGAGCACTTCCCTTAGAGGCGGGCAACCTTAACTGAGATGTGGTGCCTAGCTGCAAGTTTCATCACCTTCCCCTGTTGCAAGGAACTGTGATATCCGTATCTGGTCTCACTCACTCACTTGCACGCACACACACAAGCCCTCATCACCTGCAAAGCAGAATGATTTAGGACTATACCAGGGATGGAGAAGAGGTCGCTGCATGAAGCAGTCTCCCCACACTACTTCTTTCCTTAGCTGTGATGCCCAGATGGACTCCCTTCCAAAATGGAAAAAGAATCCTGTTGGATCAAGCCAAAGGCTTGTGTTCTGCCCTCGCCCTACACAGCCAGTTGTATATGGAAAGCTGCCTTCAGGACATATGCACAGCTGTACTCCTGGTCTCACATTTCCCAGCAACTCATAATGCTGAGGTAGGCTGCCTCTGAGAAGGGGGTGAGCATGGAGCCGTCTTTAACAGCCTTTTGTGGCCCTCCTCTGTCTTTGGAATCGGGCAGAGAGAAGCATGCCAGGGAAAGTCAGATAATGTCTTCCCTGGCCTCATTTGTATGTTGCTTTATCCTTTACTCCAGTAGTTCCCAACCTTGGGTCCCCATATGTTCTTGGGCTGCAGCTTTCAGAAATCCTGGCTAGCAAAGATGATGGTGAAGGCTTCTGGCAGTTTTAGTCCAAGAACATCTGGCAAGCCAAGGTTGGGAACCACTGCTTCACTCCATCACAGGTTTGCTACCTTCATGGGTAGCTTTAGCCTCATTGTCAGAGTGTCTGGTTAGGTGCTCACAAGGCCATTGAGATCAGGGTACAAACAGCACAGTCTTTAGAACTGCATATTACATAATTAACCATATGTGATTTCTTCTAAAACAAACAACATTAAGAACCTTAAAGAAATTGGGGGAAGCAGTAACCATGGGGAGTAACAAGAGGAGTAATTTACAAATGGGATGCTTGACTTGCAGAAATCAGTATTCCTCTTGCTAAGATGTGTATTTTGTCAAATCTAGATCCGTCTCCCCCCTGAAGTCAACCGAATATTATATATCAGAAACTTACCATACAAAATCACAGCTGAAGAAATGTACGACATTTTTGGAAAATATGGACCTATACGGCAAATCAGAGTGTAAGTCTGTTCTGTGTTTTCAAATTAAGTTTTGAGTGGGAGTTGTTCTAGTTATATCAAGTAGCTTTCTAGTTCACTAACAGATTGCTGTTAAGATTTTCCATTTAAAGCAATGAAAATGATGGGTACCCAATTTGATTTTTGCAGGAAAGATTATGTTGGTACGAAGCAAGCGTATATAAGCAATGAAGTCAGATTTACAAACACACACATACAAATATGGTTTGTGTGTGTTAAGATGCCTCATGGTGCAAATGCCAAAATGAAAATATTGTTGCTGTGCTGTTTTTTTAAGACAGCATATCCATTGTGTATAAATTGACTTGCTAAAACCATTTTGAAACTTCATAGAAAACAAAGATTTGTTGGAGATTGTTGAAGGAAATTATGAGTAGGACAAAAGAACTAAACAAAAATTTACATAAAAATAACAGTATTATTGTAAAGCAGCACTATAGCATCCGGTTACTTTATTGGACTGGACCAATTTGAAATTACCACAGTATAAACAGTGCAGCTGTAACACAGAATAGCAGATTATTATAGTATAGTTTTATTTGTTACTGGGATAAAGGAAGAGTTGAAAACATGGGATTTTATAAGCACTTCAGGTATTGATGCTGAAACAATTGTGTTGAATTATATTAGTGGCAATTTGCTTCCATAGCATCTGAATACTAAGAGCCTTATGGTGCAGTGGTTAAACTGCTGTACTGCAGCCAAAACAGTGCTCACGACCTCGGGTTCAATCCCAGGTAGCTGGCTCAAGGTTGACTCAGCCTTCTGTCCTTCCAACGTTGGTAAAATAAGTACCCAGCTTGCTGGAGGGGGTGTTCAATGTGTAGCCTGCATAACTAACTTGCAAACCACCCAGACAGTGCTTGAAGCACTATGGGGCAGTAGATAAGCAGCACGCTTTGCTTTGTTTTTGCTTTAACAAACCTTTTCTCCTCTTTTATTAAAATTGCTGTTATTCTACAGAGGAAATACTCCTGAGACCAGAGGAACAGCTTATGTAGTATATGAGGATATCTTTGATGCCAAAAATGCTTGTGATCATCTGTCAGGATTCAACGTGTGCAACAGATATCTTGTCGTCTTGTACTATAATGCAAACAGGGCAAGTACACCAAGTTTTCCTGAAACATTTCAGCTTTTGCTAAAACACAAGATGAGCTTCTTTTTTAAAGGATAGTGTTACAAAGACAATTGTGGAATAATTCAAGAGCAGATGTATTGTTTTTAATGCTCTTGTTCATAGTAACAGACGCTGAACAAAGAGCCTAGTGGGAGACTTTGAGAAGAAAATAGAATTTCTATGTACCTGTAGACTGATGTTTATTCTTGGTACATCTCTCTATATATATTTTCAAGGAGAAAAATCTTACTTGAAAATATGAACAATCAGCATTCTGTACAATAATGTGAATACTTTATATATACTTGGGGCTAAATTCAATAGTACTCTGCTAAATTTCCCCAGTCCTCACCTCACTTCACAAGCAGATTTGATTATGAGGGTCTGCCCTGTCAGGGAGATTTCAGACTGCTTCAGTCAGTAGAATGATACCACTGTGACCCAAGCAAAATAGCTCTTTTTCCTGTTTTTTCTCTTAAAACATTTCTCATGCATTTTCTTAACATTTAATATGATGTGTTCTAGTTTTTAGGAGATGCATTTTGTTTTGAATCTGTTGATTTTAGAATTCTATAGTGGCTGGAATCCTGTTTGTGAAGCTCCATACACATAACTCTGATGACATCACCCATTGACTTCAGTCTTTTAATTAAAAGTTTCCTCTTCCCAACTTTTCAGGTTCCAGGACTCACTAAGGATTCCTTTTGAATTGGGGAAGCCTTTAGGCGTCTTGGGATGGGAGAGGGAGACTTTAATGCCCCCAAATTGATGCTGTTGGTTCAGCTGTGAGAGCCAAGACTGCTGGCAGCAGTTTTCAGAGATAAGACTCCTCACATCCCAAGGATCCTAAAAGAGTTCCCCAGATCTCTTTTAATTACTGATTTAAGTCTGGGTGATGACATCATCAACCTTACATGCATGGAACTCTGCAAACAGGATTTTGATCACTGAGTGCAAAATGTATTCATTGGGTGTTGATGTTTTGTATGTTGATTATTTGTATTTATGTGTTAAGATTTATCTCCTTGTAAAACTCAGCTGCAAAATGTGTTAGAAAGAAAAAGAAAGAAACTAGTAGGATGAGATTGCTGGTTTTTTATATTAAACTATAGTCTTGTTTTATTCCAGGCATTCCAAAAGATGGATACAAAGAAAAAGGAAGAACAACTCAAACTTCTGAAAGAAAAATATGGAATAAACACAGATCCACCAAAATAAGACTGTTAAACATCTTGAGCATCTGGCTCTTCTGGACATTTCTTAATATCCCATTGATGTTTCTAGGCTGAGCTCCCAAGATATGCCCATCTAGTTTGAAGTACAGGCATTTATAGTTTTTTGATTTACTGTACTGGTAATCTCAGTTTTGGATTGACTCATCGGTCATATGTAACTATAATGGCAAGGACTTTAAAATTAAATTAGTCATGGGGTACGGCTGTTGAAGTTTTCCATAATTCAAAGGCTTATCCAAAGCACTCATGGTACAGTCGTCTAACCATTAAGATCAGGGGAACAGGTAAAATATTTGGGGCTTAAATGTGATATTTACTCTGTTAAGAAAACATACATTCTATACATTGGTAATTTTTTGTTTATGCCTTCATAAAGATATCCATGTAATTTGTCTTCTCCCAATGGTGCAGTGCAGCAAAAGCCTAATGTATTGTAAACAGTATACTGTAATGTTATATCTATAGGAAATGCTGTGTGGAAATGGGAAATTCTGTTATTTTTTGTTACATCTACTGAATGTAAAGGGAAGGATTTGGTTTAATAACAGCAAGAAAAATTGGGGTTGCTTTACCTCCCCACTACCTGGAGGTGTCTTGTTTTGTTTCTATAACAGAAAAGCCTAAAGCAGTAGTTTTTAAAAGTGATTCTTTGGCTTGCTCTCCTCTCCTTTAACATTGTTGCAAGCAGAAAACTAGTGAGAAAAACAGCAAATTCCATGCTGCAGTGAAGCTTTTTAAAAAGTTAAAAGAAGCTTTGAGATTGTTGGGAAGTCAAGAGTCTGGATGCGACCACAGTTACTGTAGTCACGGAGTGTAAAGCAGAATTAGTTTTGCAGTTATGCTATTTCCTTTTTAAATAGCATGCATTTCTTTTGCGCCCCAGTCCTTCAGAAGTGATTCAGCCCATTTCTCTGTTTCATATTTCCTTTAACTAAAAAAAGCAGCTTCATCTGTTACTAAAATGGGTTTATTTAGATGTGACAATTTTCTATCGTTCATAGAAAATTAACTCTGCTTTTACTGCTGATTAAATTTATCTTTCAGTTACCTTTTGATCTGTACTGATTTTTTCTTTTTGGTGTGCGTGTTTTACTATTGGTTGCGTTACCCCCTTGTAAAATTTGCATGGAGCAGTTTACTCTTTCTGGTACAGTAGTTTATATCGTACTCCGCATAAATGGAACTCTAGTTGTGCTTGCTGAAAACTTTGGCAATAGGGCTGCAATGAATTTTCAGTCATTTTCAATGTCAATGGTACAATTTTGGACCTTTCATTACACTGGAAGAAAATACTCAGTTTGTGGCTGTACTACTTTTTTGGACATAACCATTTGGCAAAAAACACAAGATTTTCCATAGCAGAATTTTATTTTTGCTATTGTAAATGCATTCTTGAGCGCTAAAGCAGGTGGCAGCAGTCTTTATGGATAGTTTCATGGTTTAAATTAAGGGCCCTGATCCAGTTTGAGGTGTGTGTACAAGTACTAGCATGCAGTGCAAATATGTATCTCACTCCATGTCAAAATGTGCATTCCACCTACTATATGGTGCCCAGATGGACTATGGGATGGTGCACACACAGAGCCAGCTGTTTCCTGGGGCCTAAGCATTTCGGTCTCTGACTTAAGGTAAATGATAGTACTTGCAAACAGAATTTTAAGCCCAATGGCACATTGAATTGAATAGTCTTGCTCTTGTAAAGCGGTATTCCTCATGTTCTTTCTGGATTCGCTGATGGCAAAAGTTCTGTTATTTAAGCTGCTTTTCAAGAGCCTGTTTTGGCATTTCTTTGCATGAGCAGTCCTTTATATTTGATAAACTGGGACAGGAATCTCAAATGCTTTGGACATTTATCTGAATACACAAGTCTACACAAGACTTGGAAACAACCATATCCCAAGTATAGAGCATGATCATTTAAAAAAAAAATGAGAAAAGGCAAGCTGTGAGGGTAGGTAATTAGTACTGACATTGTTTGACATCACTGTTGCTGTTTTTTGTGTTTGCAGCTACATTTTCCATCAAGAAATAGAGCATGAAATCATGCCCAGGAGATAGCGTCATCCATCTATGATTTGCTTTAATGTTAGTAACAGAATAAGGTTCTCTTATTCATTCTGTCGTATTGTTATTCATCATACAACACAGCCACGTGAGATGCACAGTGTAACTGGTTGCCTTAAAGGTTGGCAACTTGATTATCTGCATCTGTATATCTTTGACAGGGTGTGGTATGGGTTGCACTGACATAACTATGCTAGCAGCATAACCTTTGCTAGGAAAACCTTAGGTCAGACCTGGGCAATGTGCGGCCCGCGGGCCACATACGGCCCAAGAGCCGCTCCTGTCTGGTCCGCCCATCACCGTTGAGTGAGCCGGAGCTACGGCTCCAGTCATCCAGCACAGCAGTAAGCAAAACTTGCAAGATCCGATGCTGGGATCTCGTGAGTTTTGACTGTTACTCTTGAGCTGCAGGCTGAGAACCCTTCGACTCAAGAGGCCGGAAGCGATCCTTGCGCATCGCCTGCACAAGATAGAAGACAGTCGGAGAGGAAGGCCGCAGGGGAACAAAGGACAGATGAGTTA